TAATTGGTCAAGTTAGTCAGTAATTAGACCGGCTTCACCATGTTGCGTCTGAGAGCCCAGCTACGTTTCCCCCATGCTAATTGGGCTATTTATACCGAGACACATTGACCAGGCTCGCTGGCTTCCTCTCCGATTTCAGCACTTGTTTATTTTCTCAGTGTGTGCTTAGGACACGGAGCTGGACTCGCCACCCTCCCTCTTCTCCTCCTCCTCAAGCCATTTTTCATTCCAACTGGAGCTCACTGAACTTTTGTCCTCAGCCCTCGGTCTCTTTGTCCATCCTTCTGTCTGCCTTGTCTGTTTTTTTTTTTTAACACTCTTCTTTTTACTCTTCCCCTTCGACACAGCAGCTGCCTTTCTGTGTCGCTCATCAGTGTTCTATGATCACCAGTGTCTGTGCCTTGGACCTTCTCTTCCTCGTGAATTTGTGTATAAACATTCCTCTGAGAGTATGTAGAGATGGATGAATGTCAGTGAGCCATCCTCACTGGAGAGTAACAGAGCCAGCTGTGGGAACCAGACTGTCACATATACACATGTTGTCACGCATCACAAATAAGGGGCATCCCATTGAACTGGTTTTAGTGGTCAGCGTTAAGTTCGTCTTTTCACACCTGGAACTAAAACGTGTCCTCGCTGTGTCTTCTGGAACAACCTAAGATTGAATCTCTCATCGATTCCACTCTATAGACAAATAGTTACGTACATAATTTTTATTCACAAAGGACAAATTACGTTTTTTACCTTGTCTGAGTTTACAGATATGTTTGATGTCACTATGTCCATGTCTGTGTCGGCGTGAGCCAGTGAGAGAGATATGAATAAAGATAGACTTTAAGAAAAGTATCCATCATCATGTGATAATCAGTGTTAATATGTGGCCACAAATAAATCAGCATGTGGGCAATGAGAAGAGTAAAAATACGTTTGACTGATTGCGACACTGTAGAAGGTCAGAGGACATATTCATATTAAATACTTCATATTTACGTTTGCACAGCAAAAACAATGTGGCCACTTGCGACACACACACACACACACACACACACAGGAACATTTTGAATGCTCTTTTCTTCTCTGCCACATTTTCATCTCTCTGTGTGCCTGTAATTTCGGTTGTAGAAATGAGCTGCTGCTTATGAGAGGCCATCTCCAACTACAGATCCCACCAATAGCTAGCTCACACTTCTGTCCCTCTTTGTGTATAATGGTCTCTCTCTCTCTCT